TGGGAGAGGAGGTCATTGGGTAATTAGTTTGCTGACAGTGATACCCCAGGCCCATTAAGGCCTCAGTTGTTTGGTGGTGAGAATGGCATTGGGCCAATAATTTGTTTTCTTCAATAGTCAGGGCTTCCCTGGTGGCACAGTGGTTGAGAGTCCGCCTGCCGATGCAGGGGACACGGGTTCGTGCCCCGGTCCGGGAAGATCCCACATGCCGCAGAGCGGCCGGGCCCGTGAGCCATGGCCGCTGAGCCTGCGCGTCCGGAGCCTGTGCTCCGCAACGGGAGAGGCCACAAGAGTGAGAGGCCCGCGTACCGCAAAAAAAAAAAAAAAAAAAAAGTCAGTGCTGTTTGGAAACCAAGCTGCACTCCAGGAGGGATGTCTGAGCCACTGAGCTTCTAGGGGCAACAGTGGGCTGCTCGTGCAGCTCGGAGCCTTGGCGATTCAGAGGGGGAAAGACCTGATAGTTCATCCCTTTGACCACCCCCCTCATTTCAAAGTTGAGAAACCAAGTCCCAAAAAGATTGTGCCTCAAGTGACCCACCCAAGCCAGTTTCTCAGCCTGGAAGAAATCTGACTTAAGGTCAAGAAATCTGACCAGATAGAAACACAAAGAGACTTTTTGGTTTGGGGTGGTTTTTTTTTTCCCCTATTAAGTTGGCAAAGATTTCTAGAGGGAACGTCCCAACTGGCATCAAAAGTTAAAATATACATGCCTTTTAGCTCAGCAACCACGTTCCTAAGAATTTACACCTAAGATACAACAGCACATGCGACCAAAGATGTGCACATAAAGATGTCCATTTCAGTGCTGTTTATAATAGTGACAATCGGAAACGATTTTAAATGTCCGTCAGTAGAGGACAGCTTAAATAAAGGATGCACATCTATGCAATGTGATATTAGGTAAGCTTTAAAAACTCATTTATATTTATGTTGACTCAGAAAGAGGCCTAGAACAGAATATCAAATGGGAAAAAAGCAAGTAAACGGTTTGTATAATACGGTCTAATTTAAATGTATATTGACATACATATACACACATGCACATATCTACACACGCACGGGGGAGAGAGGAGGGCCCCACTGATGCCCCACGAGTGACAGACGGTCCTTTGGGGGCTCAGGGTCCTGGAGTTGAAAGAGACAATAACACAAGTCAACACATCCTGGCTGGAAAGGCCTAAGGACGTGGGAGGCGTGGCAGTGCTGAGCGCTTTGGAGGAGGGCAAGGTCACATTTCCGGAGGACCGGGGAAGAAGATGGATGCTCACACGGACTCCAGCTTCGAGCCAAAACCAAAACAAGCCCCTCTCTTCAGGCTCTCAAATTAGCCCTTCTCCTCAGAGGGCCGTACCACAATTGTGAATCAATCATTACTGGTGCAGTATTTGTTTAATGCCTACATTCCCACCCTCACCCCCCTCTGGAGAAAGCAGGGACCCCTGTCAAGGTGGCTCGTTGCTACACCCGCGCATTCGGCATTGCGTCCCGCACATGGCGTAATAAACACACTTAGAATGAATGAATGAATGAATGCATAGTACCAATTCCCCCAAACCTGGACAGTTCTCCCGAGCTCTGAGTCAAGTCCTGTGGCAATGGGAAACAGCCCTTCCCCCAGGGTTCCCTTCATCCACGCCACAGCCCACCCATGAATTAAATATGCAGTCAACAGATGACGTGTTGACGTCTGGGATTTGTTTCAAAATACTCCTGATGGAGAGGGGGGACCTTCCTGGCGGATTCCACATGCACCGGGGGTGACCATGAGCTCACATGGGCTCCTCATACTGGTTATGGGTCCCTTCATGTTCCTTATTCTATTCTCTCTGCTTTTTGCATACATTTAAAGGCCTCCATTAACAAAGTGGGTTTTTTGTTTAAAGGAAACAATTGAAAGGCCTAAAGGAGGTTGAAATGACCACTGTGAGAGACCACTGCAAAACGACAAAGGATGAAATCTCCCTGGAGGTCTGTCCTTGCACCCCAGAAGCGGCTCCACTTTGGGGGGACCTGAGGGCTGGACGGAGCCCTAGCCCTTCTGTCACTCCGCTCTGGGCCCTGGAAGCACTGCCCAGGAGCCTGGCATCTGCCTTCCTGGGCAATCCTGGGGAAGCTGCTCAGACCCGCACACCAGGCCGTTACCCTCTCTGTGTCTCAATCAAGGTTGAACGTTGGTAACTGGGGCTCCTGGGGCCTGGGAGACAGAGGCTGCGAGGCCACAGAGGTTCGCTGGTCCCCTCCCCCTCCAGCACGGACAGCTCTGGGCAACACCAGGGGTCCCCTCGCAGGGACGGGCTGTGCTACCCCATTGGAGGCTGGGAGACACTGCTGACGGCGAAAACAAACGACAGACCCCTCTGGATACCGCCTCGGGGGCCCTCCCGGACACAGACACGGCATGCGGGCCCAGGGGTGAAGGGTAAGGCGGGAAGACCCTGCCTTAAGTGCATTTCCCGGCCAA